AAGGACTCTTCGCGATGCTATCACGGGTACCCCGCCGCGATTATCTATTACGAACGGGTGGAAGGGGGAGGAGGGGAGGGCTAGGCTAGGCTTGATCATAAAGTAATGAGGTTAATTTGTCTGCACACACTTAGAAATTACTCGTGTTCGCCGAAATAAACAACTGACGTGGACGCGGGACAAGAGCCTAGACGTCTGCTATCCGTTGTCTGATGTCAATTCCCTTCGGTGCCGCGTAATGATGACATTGTTCGACGTAGAGCGGCGGGCAACCAGCATGAGAAGATCAGAGATTGTTATCCTATAATTCAATATTTTGCGCAAGTTTGCTCGTTGAATATGCGCGCGAACGTCGGGCGTATCCTTTTTTTGTCTTCTTTGTGTTCTTTTCTTTCCGTTGCGTTGGATGACTGTCGGGTGGGGGGAAAATTTCTAGATTTCTATCGTTAGCGCGACGCGGTAATGAACTGCGCGAAACTGGACGTAATGGCTGGGGTGACATTAAAGACGATGTTTCTGTTCGGGGTCTCGATGCGTTCGTTGGGACACGGTAATTAACCTGATATACTTTTGGCTGGAATAACGGGTCTGTGTCTAGACGAAGATTTTCATCCAGATGTTTAATGTAATGCCTATGCTGTGTTTTGAATGTTAAAATACAAGAAACAAATCCACTTGCTAAGAGATTTATGTAAATAAAAACGTAAACGAGAGTAAAGTAAAAGGGAACTATATCGTTAAAAACTTCGATCAAGTTTTTACTTAACTTAGATTTATCTGATACAGATGCTCGTGATACAAAAAGGACATGACGTATTCGAAATGTTAAATGTTATATAAAATACATAAATTCTGATACGTAATCAACGATGCAGGAAGAGATGCGCGGTTCACTTTCTTTAAAAATCATTAAAAATCGGTATCAGAGTAATTAACGGCCTCGTAATAAAAGAGAATCGGTAATTGGATTCTAATAAGCTCGTTGTTAAAATTAATATTCCCTTTAGTAAAAAAACCCATTATCCTCGGCAACATTTCGCTCCCCCCTTACCTGCCGCAATCAATTTATCACTCGACATTATGGAACACTTTAACCAGGACTTGAATTAAACTTTCGAACGCCGTTGACCCATTAACTGAATAATCCCTTGAACCTCACTACTCGTTTAAGCAAAATTAAATTCAAGTGAAAAACGTATGATACAATTTAACTGATAATAAAATTAAATATCTAAAATACAATTAGCACTGGAAGTACCGAATGGGTGAAATTGACATATTTCTTCTTTCTTCTTTCTAAAAGTTGTTCAATTACTAAAGTAAAGTGAAATCAATTTATTATTGATTTATTATTGATTTGTAATTATGATTTACTATTATGGTTTTTATATTTACTTATTATGGTTTGTTAGCTATTAACCCCTTGCCTTATAATAACGTGTCAGACTCGTCAGATTTTAAACAGAATTTAATAACTATAAATATTACACGATTCTCTTGAATTTAAATTAAATATTATTCTTCAGTTATTAATTATTATACTTTAGAGGAGACATGAACATAGAATATATCTAAATTTGTTTCTTTTTCTCAATAAATTATTAGTGATAAAATACTAAGTGCATCCATCATAATTAAGAAATAAATCATAGGGCACCTGCACTCTTGGGGTCAAGTCAATTCGACTGCTTGTATTTCCACTGTTAAGCAAATACGTATTAAACCTCTCTAAGATACAGGTAAGCACGAGACCAACGAGTTAAATCTCCCTTCGTTGAACCGGAAGCAATTTTTCACGTTGGTCAGACCTCGAAGATATTCCTCTTCGATTCCGCGGAAATGTGTGGTTAACTTTAATTAGTCACAGTTAAGAAGCGCCAGGCCGCCATTAACGGTGGTTAGCATTTTAGTTCGACGATCCCCTCGTTTTCCCAACGGGAGACTGTGACGCTTCCTACGTAATCTAACGGCCAACGGTTCCCGCTTATTTCTCAGGAACGTAAAATGTTACGTCTTCGAATAGTAATTCGCCCTATTCGCCGGGAGCATAGTAATGCGTCTTACGTTATTAATCTGTAACCGGCGGCTTTCTCTCGACGCGAATAATGCGAGCAGCGACGAGCTGGAGAGAGAGAGGGAAAAAAAGAACGCGGCGAACGAAAGGAGGCGCCTACCGAGAAAAATGAATTTAGTTTTGCGCGTGGAAACCGGAACTCGGAAGCGCGTGTATCGCAGATTTATAGGCACTAACGCGGGCAACGTTACGGCTACGGGGGCGCGAGGCAGGCAAGCCTGTTTTCTTGGCTCTCGTGAGATGCGACGCAATGTCGACCATGGGAACCAGTTTTCTTTATGTTTAATTAATCACACTCATAATTATATTGTTCAGCCCGAGTCATATTGTTTTAACGCCTAAACTGCTGTTTACGACACACTTGCCGCTTCAAAGGAAATGGGTCAACGATTTTTCGAATCTTACGAGATTTTCAAGGAAAAGTCTGGTTCAAATTTCACGAGTATACTTGCGAGGCAATGTTTTATATTGCAGTACTGTGAAGTCATTTTTACAATGCTAATTTTTCAGTGAGCCGAGAGGAAGGTTATTATAATTTATCGATAAACGAGAAATTAAGAGATTTTTTAAAGAAAAAAAGGAAATTTACACTTAACACTAAAACTACTGGACGGGTCAGATTGACTCACTTCAGAATTATGATTTTGCGAGTATTTGAATCATGAAAGCATGTTTGCCAAAGATTTGAAATGAAATTTCTGTATTTGTACAGATACAAGACTAGAAGGCCCTTCGAATCTCAAGAAACGTATCGTTCTAATTCTTATAAAAAATTGGAAATAAGTCACTCTAATTGCTCAGTAGTTTTAGTGTTAAAACATAACATTGAAATGTTGTATCTTCGAGCGAAAAGAATCTGTTTGTTTTAATAGAAAACAGGAAACTTATTGGTGTATTAATTCGTAATTGGACTGGTGATTCTAGATCGAATTGTCGAAAGGTCGTTTACATACGAATGCCGCATTGCATAACAAAAGGAGACCATAATGGATGCGTCGGATGCAATTTTCCCGTAATTATCGATGGGAAGTTGCGGAGGACTTTGCAGTTTCCCGCCCTAAGAAAGTTTCTTCCAATCTTTCTGCATAGTGGAACAAAAGTTTTTAATCCCCGTCGTACTCCATGAGAAAACTAACTGGGGGAAAAATGAGATCGTCGGCAAAATCGGCGAAGAAAACGACGGGGAAAAGGGAGCTGGGATCGTTTCACGGGTAAATTCGAGTCTGTTTTGCTCCATATCGATTTTGTATTATTTATACCATATATTTTTATAATTCGGAGGTACATTTGTTTGAGATTTTGCTATACGTTTAATGTTCACGACGTCGATGCATTCAAATTCCAAAAGTCTCTCTTTCGTGTTTCTTGTGCGCTTCGGAGGACACCGAACATAATCGAGGAACATGCCGCACTATTTACTAAGTACATACATCTTCGATCGTTATCGTACATAACACTCTTACGATATATACATAACATATTCCTTACTCCTGCCTTACACTTTATTGAGATCTATCTGATTCGAGAACGTAATAACAGGTAAGTAAGTAGATAGTCCGTGTGGTATCCCACCGGCAAACCGGGTGAAACAAACATCAACGAAGTGAACGCAACGATCTCGGGAGGAAAAAAGGGATCGTCAGATCCAGTCTACATAAATTATAAGATAATCTATTTAGCGTCAGGCGTGACAGTTCGGTTCCGACCTGTCACTTATTATCACTGTCGAAAAATCACTGGGCATCGTACGAACGATTTACGCTATATATCGAGTCGAAGGAGGACACGAGTCCTACGATGAAAATAAAAATTATTGCTTACGTGATTGCTTATTACTAGACGATTCCTGAAAAACCACTCGTATGCTCAATATGATATCGGTGAACTAGAACAGAGGCGCTAAACACATAACAACATCAGTTTGATTATCGGTTCACAGTTAAACACGCTCCGGAGAAATGAAAGATGTACAATAATGGAAATCCTCGGTGACTTCAAAAGATGTTTGTTGACCACGTGAATTATTTATCGTGAAAAACAGAGATCGTGCAAACCGGGAGACGTGTTTTGTTTCGTTTCTAATCCACGAAATCCCTGTTGAATCGTTTGTCCATCTGCGGCCGCGATAACAATCCGCGCGACAATCCGTTCAATCGAATTTAAACCCTTGTCGTATAATTGATTCTGCGGCTAGGTACAAAATTATTGCTTCACTATTATTCATATCCTAGCAGAAGAAAAAGTTACACATTTATTCGAGATGCTTCATTACTGGAAAAATTCAATATTTGTAAATACAAAATAATACTTCTATTGACATCAGTTGAAAAATATTCAATATTATAAGGCGAAGGGTTAAAATCCACAAAATTTGTCACGCGTCAACACGCTGACTGCCACGGCAGTAACGAGCTCCAGTAAATTGTTTGAAAACGATCACCACGAAACCAACTCCATCGAAAATCTCTTCGTGGCACAAGCAGCTACGTGATAATACAAACCAAACAGTACATTACCAGATAATGAATAATTCGCGTGGCAATCAACATGTAAACACAATAAACGACTGCAAAGCTAGGCTGACCATACGTCCCCTTTCATAGCCACGTGCTATCGATCTCGTCGTTTCGCAAAAAATCCTAGCTTCGTCTCGTTTCTATAAATACTTCAAAACGTACAGAAAGATTGGTCAATTCGTAGCGTGAGAAGCAAGTTCGCCCGAAAAATACACGCGACACGAGTAAAAAGATACACAACCTCTGCATCAACGCACGAATTCCCTACAAGCAACCATTCCCATTTTAATTTACATATATCCGCTACGAAACAATCGTTTCCCCAAAAACCTGCTACATCTCAGAGAAACTTCCCGCGATCGGGATTACGGTCAGCCGCATAGATCAATCGTAATCAATGGGATACGTACGTGGACGGGCCGATGAGAGCACAGACGCGATCACTTCTGAATCTTGCCACCCCGAACTTCCTCTTGTTTCCCGGTCGCTCAGTGGTACGAAAGAAAAGCACACATCACCCGTGACCGGAGGAAGCTCTGAGTGCTGTTATACGTGTATCACTGACCGCGTGAACCCGTGGCCGGCGCACGGAAACGCGTGTGTCGTACAGGTGCGAGTGGAACGTACAGCGCTTGGCGGCCAATGAACACCGGCGCATTAACGGGAAGAAGCGAGAGGAAGACGACGGAAAGGGAAAGCAAATTAAGTGGATGATAGTCGAAGGGCCGCGTCGTGTCGCGAATGAAACGTGCGACGATACTGAGGAGCCGTCGGCTAGGCATGCAAACCTCATAGCCGGGCGGCAAGGATCTCTCGATCCTCGCCTCCTCGTCCATCGGACTGTCACGGCTCTCCTATCTCTATCCGTCTCAACTATTCGCGCCGCGAACGGGATCGTCCCGTCCTCTTCCCGACCAGGTCCGTGTACCACCGCTCACTTCCTCGCTTTCTCGCTTCCTCGTTCTGCTTGATCCTCCCTCTGACTGTTAAACACCGCTCCTCTCGTCTGTCCCCTAACCCCATGCGATTGCCCCCTAACCGCGTGGCCCCCAGTCGCATCAGGCGGACCTAGCGAGCGCACGCGCTTCACGCGCTGCTTACCTTTTACACCGTACGTCCTCGCACCCACTCCCCTACCCTTCTCTTTCCTCCAACCCCCCTGCGTTGGTCCGACTATACGTTTCGCCACTCTTCCTCTATCTGTCTCCCTCGAAATTTTTCCGCGTTACCCTGGTCATCTTCCTTCTGCTATGTGATCCGATGCTATCTAAACCCGATGCTTTCTCTTTCCCCATCGAGACAGTTTCTGCTGGATGGATACGTGCACCGACGCGTTCCTCTTCTTTGTGCTTCCTGGACAACGATGTCTTCTTCGTCCTGTTTATTTTCTCTGCATCCCTCTGCACCCTTTTT